TTTCACTCGTGATCAAAAGTAAGTAACAACAACAATAACACAAATATGGACCAAAAACTGTCAAAATTCCATTGCCTTCTAATAAAAAAATCAAACGTTTTCCCGCATTCCGTGCATGCTTTGATTAATTTCCCAATATCAGGGAAACTACAATAAATAGATATAGGAATGTTTATAGATAATTTGTAGAGAATTAAATTCCCTTTCTGATAGGGTAAAGAAATATGGGGTGTTCCATTTAAAATTTTCGACTTTCTCGCAATTGAATATTGAGAAACGATAATTCAATTTTTGACCAGCCTGTATAAGATTCTCTGATACAACAAATGACAATCTATTTGGCACCATCTGTAGAGTAGTCGTGCCAATGCAGAGCTTTTTTGAATGATCGTTAGCTGAGATATGGGCTTTTAAAGACCATGGTGAAATTTGCCAAAAAACACTTAAAATCAAAATAACTCGAAAACGAAAAACGCTAGGTACCAATAACTTTTATGAAAGTCAACATATTTTTTTACGTACAATTAAAAGGTGCAATAAAAACTATAGCATTCCATTTAAAATAACGAAGTTATGGTCTACTTCCGGTAGACCGGAAGTGGCAGCCAACTTGAAAATATTTTAGATCGAAAGTTCCGACTGAACAACCCATACTATCAAAATTTCAAAACTGTACGAATACTGGAACCTAAAAAAGTTCTAACGAACCAGTTACGTGAGACAGCCTGTATAATATTTCATAGTTATGAACTATTATAGTGGGGTTAATAGGGATGTTGAATCTTGAAATGGGAACTTTAAAATATAAAAAATAGGAAGAGGTGTATAAGGATTGGGGTTCGAAAAAGGAAAAAGGGGAAAGGGGGGAGGGGGATTGGCCGCTGGAGCCCAAAAAAGTGCGAAAAATGCACGCTATTGTTATTTCGTATTGTTCTAATAAACTAAGTTTAAAACCTTTGTTCTGTTTATGTAGCAACGTAACACCCTCTTGTATGTCAAGATCATGTCTAAACATTAACATATGTCTACCAAAATTGGAATTATCATAATGTTGGTGTTTTTTAATTCTAGTTTTGATAGATCTACCTGTTTCACCAATATAAGAAGCATCACAAGTACTGCATTCTAATTTATAAACACCATTCTGATCTAATAAATTGATTTTGTCTTTGGCGTTGAATAGTTTTTTCTGTAAAGTGTTTACGTTTTTATAGGAAATATTAATATCGTATTTACGGAAAATCTTCTGGATATTATAAGCAACATTACCAGGGAAATTAATTGATCCATATATTAAATTATTATTTTGTGTGAGTGGTTGTAAAGTGGTTGAATTTTTAAGTTGATGTTTTATCTGAAGCTTTTTAATTACAGAATTTATCTGTGGTATTGAGAAACCACTATTAATTGCTATAGATCTAATGATATTAAATTCATTATTTCTATCTTGTTCAGATAGTGGTGTATATAAGCTCTGAAAGCTGCAGCTTTATGAGAAT